CTTGCTTCATGACAATGCTCGACCACATGTTGCGAAAGCGACTCAGGACCATATCTTTGCGTTAGGCTGGGAACTTCTCCCGCACGCGGCATATAGTCCAGACATGGCGCCTTCCGATTACTACCTATTCGGGTCGCTGCAGCATCATTTGGCTGATACACATTTCGTGAGATTAGAAGAGATACGAAAATGCATTGATGACTTTATCGCTTCGAAGCCGGTGAGCTTCTATCAAGGAATTCGCAAGCTACCCGAAAGATGGCAAAAGGTCGTTGATGCAAACGGGGAATATTTCGCTGATTAATATTTTTTTGTTTGTTTTTGAATAGATTGAATTTTACAAAAAAAAGCTCAGAACTTTTTTGTACACCTAATATGTGAATTTTACTTAAAAGTTAAATATTAGTATTTTGTGAATTATATTATTCTTATTTTTTAACTTATTTTATTATTCTTATTTTTTCTTATTTCTTGTTATTTTTATTCTTATTTTTATTTTAATTATATCTTATTATTCTTATTTTACTTAGATCAATTATTTGTTTCTGACCCTTTTCGCTTCTTATTTTAATAAAATTCATTTTGGTGTTCGTTTACGCAGTACCGCAAGCAGAGCATCCAAAGCGAAACCTCCGAGATAGTTGCACAGATGAAATACATCCCTACGTAAACGAACGATGAACTGCGCTGCAGTCACTTTCGCAGACGGAATAAATGAACGACATCTGCAGTAGTGACTGCATAAACGACTGCACCAAAAATCTCATTATAAACGCCATTTAAGTCTCGGCCCACAATATGTATTTAATCATTAAGCCGTAAGAAAAAACCAATCATAATCAATTATTTTTCTTATATTCGATTATGATTGGCCAATTTCTTATTTCTTAAAACTTAAATCACCTATTGTGGACCGATATAACGATTTTCTTATTGCTTAAGTTTTACTGTTTAAGTTTTTTTGGTTAGACAATTTTTCGAAAAATGGAAGGAATAATATTGTTATTTAATTAATATTATATCAACGAAATCCTTTAAACAAAATAATTTTAATTTTTTATGGATTAGTAGCTAATAGTATATTATTCACTAATAGTATATTATTCATAATATTCAGCACAATAATAGTATATTATTATATAACATTAATGTATGTAATATTTATCATTATTTTTTATCTTATTCACTTTATGTTCTTACTTATTATGTTTTCATGTTTTATTTGTCTTTATTTAATTTATTTTAATAAAATATTATAATGTATTTTATATTTACATTCTGATATATAATACTTACGTAACGTACATGTCCGCGCATATGTCAAAAAGGATATACAAATCAACAGATTATTACTTGAACAGTACTACTAATTCATAGAAACTAAAATTATTTTGTTTAGAAGATTTTGTTGGTACCAACATTATCCCCTCCAATTTTCGGGAAATTATTGTCTAATCGTTTTTTTATGTGCCACGGCTCTTATAATGTTACTAATATCCGATTCCACCAACGTAGATTAGTTCTAGTTCCAGAACTAGAATTAGGAAAAGAATTAGAAGAATTAGAAAAGAGATCTGTTTGACACGTTGCAATTGACTACCACTCATAGCGTTTGAACAGAGAAAAACCTCTAGGCACCGGCCGTTGTGAGTGGCTGTGGTCAATCGTAACGTGATTAAACGGGACGCTCCATTAGTGTCGGTCCATAATAAATGATTTAAGCTTTAAGACGTAAGAAATTGACCAATTATAATCGAATATGAAAAGAATAATCGACTATGATTGGTCAATTTTTTACGGCTTAAAGATTAAATACTTATTGTGGACTGACACTTAGAAAAAGTTGAAGAGCAAGTTAAACCGAGATTAAAGTAAATCTATGTTGATGGAATCGATTCGTGGCATCAGTCGAAGTTAAAACCTCGTATTGTGTACTGTGCGTACTGCGTTCCGATATTTATTGTAAGTACTGACGATACTGATGATGTCATTCAATAAAGCTGCAAGAGTGTTCCGTTATTATTAATGATATTTTTATACTGCAATAACTGATGCTGCAATACTATGAATATGACGTATAAAATTATATAAATATAACCTACAGAAATATAACTTACTTTATTCCTTTGACTGATTGCGAGTTGAAGTTCAAATCTATTATAAATTGAATCTATAAAATGATTGAAAAAATTATAATAATAGTAGAGTTTGCGAAATACTTAATGGAATCTTTTTATAGCGTCTCAGAAAAGAAAATAATATAAGAATAAAGAAAATAAAGAAAATAATATTAGTACTAAACATATAACTAAACTAAATATATCATGTTTTCAGCATCCTCATGAGTTAATAATAATCTTTATTGTTATCAACATCAATAAGTATGATTTCTTTCATGGATATTGCCATATTTTTGCTGCCTCACCTCAGCTGCGTTTCAATATTCACTGTCAGTACTGAAAATATATAGTTCATGTTACGTATATTATAGGCCGATATTCATAGTCAGTTTTTATATTTAAGATCATTTTAAATAAGCTCATACAGCTATTATTGGTTGAAATGTTATCTTAAGACCTTAAATATAAGAACTGACTATGAATACCGGCCATAGATTTTCAGTGCTGGCAGTGAATATCGGAACGCAACCCTCGCGAGCAGTAACGAAAGCAGGAAGTGACAATAAAATCTATGACGTCATATAGAAGATAAAGTTTTGAAAGCTTATTGTTGCGTGTATCGGAACAGCATTCGCAATGGCTGCGTTCAGCAGAGAAAGTAGATCAGTGAGCGTTCAGTGATTCTTTATTATGATTGGTTTCTACACTTACATTCAACGAAGATCTAAAGGCAAGGACCAATCATATTGAAAAATCACTGAGCGCTCACTGATCCGCTTTCTCTGCTGAACGCAGCCAATGCTGCCAGTATTTACAGAATATCGGAACGCAGTTGATATGAATACTGGGGATCAATCATGAAACTTTTTCCCTAAGTGTGAACTCGTGAAAAAAATGAAAATTTTCATAGAAATAAAAAGTTTCATAGTGAATTAATTTTTCCATGTTAAAATTAGTCGGTTATAATGGCTGCTGCACAGTGGATTATTCTTGAAGAAAAAGAAGAAAATCAAAGGAATGAAAATTCAATATGTATAATGCGTAGAATTTTAAGAAATACTCAAGATTCATTTGATATTCCAAAAAAAGGATTTCAAGAATTATACAGGTAATAATAATATTAATTATTGTAGTGCTTAATCTTAAGTTTTATTATTTCTATATATGTAATGATGTGTATACATGTTTTATTATTAACAAGCAAATATTTCCAGCAAATATGATAACTAAATGATGATTGGATAAATAAAAAGTGTTATTAAACATATTGATAGGTTATCTTAAGAGGCAGCAATCCAACTGTGCCAAGATTTATTATTCCATATATTCAAAGGAAAGAGACAAACAGCAATATCTCGTGAACTCAAGGTAATAATTTTTTGTTTACTGGTATAAAATATATATATTTTATCTTTTAAACAAGGTATAGAAAGTTACTTTTTAAAATTAATTTTTAAAATTAACTTTTAAAATTAATTACCATTATTCGTTACCGAGTTAAAAAAATATTAGTTATTGATACTAGTTAC